GTCAGAGTCTTACTCTGTTGCCCAGGCTGGAGCGCAGTAGAACGCTCACGGCCACCGCAGACTCAACCTGCTGGGCTTTGGCGATCCTTCTGCCTCAGCCTTCCAAGTAGCTGGAAGCACAGGTGCATGCTACCACGCCCAGCTTATTTTTTGATTTATTGTAGAGATGAGGTCTCGCCAAGTTGCCCAGGCTGGTCTTGAAACCCTGGATTTAGGCAATCCTCTCACCTCAGCCTCTCAAAGTACTGGGATTACAGGCTTGAGCCACTGTGCCCAGCTGATGTGAATCTTTTTGAGGAAAGGGATCACCTGTCTCCAAAATGAAATGCCATTGGGGCTTCCCTCATCTAGGCTTCTAGAACAGGGTTTTCCAAACCCAGGGCCACAGTCAGTTAGGAAACAGGCTGCACAGCAGGAGGTGAGGAACAGGTGAGTGGAACTCTACCTCCTGTCAGATTAGCAGCATGAGGTTCTCATAGGCACGCAAACTCTGTTATGAATTGTGCCTGTGAGGGATCTCTAGGTGGCGGGCTCCTTGTGAGAATCTAATGCCTGATGATCTAAGATGGAGCTGAGGCAGTGTGATGCTAGCACTGGGGAGGGCAGCAAATACAGCCAGCATTAGTAGTGAGGCTTGGCTGCACATTCCCCTCCCCAGCCCGTCCATGGAGAAATTATCTTCCATGAAACCAGTCCCTGATGTGGAAAAGGTTAGGGACCGCTGTTCTGGGGGACCCCTGGGCTCATCTCTTAGGAACTGTAGGTGGCTGGGCCCAAGATAGGTGCAGAAGTGGAACTGCTGGAGGATTCAGGGCCACATAAAGACCTTTCCCCACCTGTCTGCCACCTGAAAGAACATTGTCAACCTGATTCATTTAATATGGTGAACAAGCAGCCTTGTCAGAAGCTGGCACTTTTGCTTAGTTGATCTCCAAGAACCTAAGGGTCTAGGTTGTGTAGGTGGGTGGTTTAGACTCTCCCTGAAGTGAATTCTTTCACCGGATCCCTCCTCTTGTCTCAGGAGATTGTCAGAGCAGGGATTGTTGGAGAGGTAGGTGAAGTGCTTGTCCTGCTCTGCCACAGTGCCTCGTTGCTTGACACTAAAGAGGGCAGGACACAGCATGGGAGTCTAGGGGTGGAGGAGCAGGAAGATGTAGAGCCCCAGCACCGCATTTCTGTCTTGGCTGCCTAACAACCTAGTTCCGACATGGTTTCACATTGTGGTGTGATGGGCTTTCTCAAACCTATCCTTTGAGAGCGAATCCTAAATCTCATGGAATTGCCTAAGGTTTCTAAGCCTGTTTCTTGTTTACATAGTGGAGGGTGATAATGACAGATGTGAGGATTAAATGAGGTACTGTTTTTTCAGTGCTTAGTGAAGGTTTTATTATTATCGTTATAATCCCCAAGCTATTACTTTAGAGCACTAAGGTAATCCTCTCTTAGAATCCCTGATAGTCTCTTAGATCTGAACCACTGGCATTTTTGGAGGGGAGGATGGGGAGAAGGGCAGAAAGGGAGCAAAAGCCTGGATCTGGGGTGTGGCATAGGAGTTTTTGGGAAAAGGCACATTTGGGTGGGCATAGGAGAGAGAGCTTTGGGTACTTCTTTTTCTCTCTGGCACTGATGGCAGTTTTCTTTCCCCTCAGCATGATGACCGTGAAGGCGAAGGCAGTGACAAGTGGGTGAGCCGAGGCCGGGGCCGAGGAGCCTTTCCCCGGGGTCGGGGCCGGTTCATGTTCCGAAAGTCCAGTACCAGCCCCAAGTGGGCTCATGACAAGTTCAGTGGGGAGGAAGGGGAGATTGAAGACGACGAGAGTGGGACAGAGAACCGAGAAGAGAAGGACAATTTGCAGCCCACCACAGAGTAGGGGCCACTCTTAACGAGATCTCTTGCCCAGGGGAGAGAGGCGCTGGGAAGATGGCTGGTGAGGAGCTAAACGGAGGAGTCTCATGAAGATTCTGGAAACCCACCCCAGCCCTACCAGCCATGCAGAGTCCTACGACAGCTGAAAGCATCCCTGGCGCTGTGTCCACTGGACAGAGGAGGCTGACCAAGGAGCCTGGGGTCAGGCCCAGCTCTTGAGCAGAACACAACACATTGGGCTTTAGCTGTGTTTCTCATTTGTTGTTGGTGTGTGGGGTGGGGCAGGGGTAGGGAGGGAGAGCGATGCTTGGATTTTGCTTTGTTTCCAATTAGAAACCAACAGATTTGTTCTTCATTTCATTTCATTTGGTGGAGCTAAGAGGACTAATTTGATGATTTTTAATCTCTTCTCCCCATCCTGATTTTAAAAGCCCTTCTTTTTTTTCTTTTTTTAGGCATATGTAGTAATATTAGATTTAATTTGGAAAACTTTGATTCTTAAAAGAGAAAACAAAGCATGTGAATAAACATTGAAGTGTTCACCTCAGTTTGGGACCAAACTGCTTGGATCTTTGTAAAAACTGGTTTTGTATGTCAAGGAGGAGTTTAAGGCCTTTCGGACCACCTTGTGTTCCCCTTTTCTGCGCAGCCATTTATCACGTGGAGTTGTCCTAACCACACCTCACAAGCCCCTGTGCCCACGTTTTCTGATTTCTTCAGGGCTGGGCTTTCCATTCTCCACCAGCAACTCCAGTATCCCAGACTTTCTAGTCCTGCTGATCCTCTCAGCAACCGGTGGAAACTGGAGGGCAGTTTCTGGTCTGTTTTCTAAGAAACTTATGAATTCTATTATCTTTACAAATATAAGATGAGAAAAATAATTTTTTCAATATTTTTTATTAATCTTTTTATAAAATGAAAAGAAACTCCTATGATTGATTAAGGAAGGTGGTTATGGCTGGGTGGTTCATGGGTTTTTTGGGTTAGTCTTTCTTTGTCTTTTTAACCTTAAGCTTTAAGTTGAAACATTCTCAGATGTTTGGGGGGAAGCATCCTCTTACAATGGGTCCTTGTGCTTGCCTTCTGGGGAGGCGGTCTGAGCAGGTGAATCATAAGGCATTTATGCATATGCTATATGCTGACTGCACCCACCTCTCCCCCCAGCCTTTGCCTCTTGGGTTGTTGTGCTCCTTTCCCCTTACTTTGCTACATTTCTATAGTTAAGTTGGTTTTACTTGAATAATTCATGTTTAGGGGAAAAAATGAAAATCTCCCTTAAAATTTGTTTCAACTCCTCCTGCAAATAAAATAAATGAAGTGGCTCTGGTCATTTTCACCCTGAGTGTGTGTGTGTTGGGGGTGGCAGAGACCTCCCACGGCAGTTGCGGGAAACCGGAAGAGAACGTTCCCCTGTGGGGCTGTGCCGGGCCTGCTGCTCAGCCCCGGCCTCAGGAGCCTCACAGTCACTCTGCCCTCCCTCTGCTTGGCAGCACCTTCTCATTCCCATTCCAGTGGTTTTGCTTCATGCTGTAACCTGGACACGATAAGAACCAGATTTTTTCACTGGTGTCATGGTCTAGGACTTTGGCTTCCTCACTGGCGGGCAGGGGTCAAGGGGTGTGGCTAACAGGCTCAGTCTTCTGTGTTCAGTGAGCAGGAAAATGACCTGAAAGCCTATTTATTCCACGCGGCCTAACCTTCAGACTTGCCAGCTCTGGGCCTGTGAGCAGGAGCCTTGTAAGCTCATAAAGTTATTTCTTCCTGCTTAACCCCTAGATGAAATCTAGAGGTGTTTTCTGAGACCAAACCAGGCCCAGCCGCCCAAAGCCCTGTCCTTCCTCTGTGGGGCTGGTAGGAAGGACGGGTACGGGCCAGGCAGCACTAACAGGCGTCGCAGGAAAGCAAAGATTTGAAATATACCAGGAGTAGCTTTCAGCGGACTGTAGCAGCCAGCCACTTCCACTCAGGCCGGCTTAGAGCGGTTGCTCCCTGCTGGGGGGCCCCACCCTGGTATGTGACTCTCCCCACCTTTTCCCCTGCAGCTAAAAGCTGGGAGAGGTGGGCCCAGGAAGGCTCAACGCAAATTGTGGTTGGAAGCCTCCAGGCCAAGGCTAAGAGATAGGGAGAGGCGGCTAGACAAGAATTTAGGTGGGCGGGGAAGAGCCTGAGAAGGCGCTGCGACCGCTGCGTAGGTCAGAGACCCTAGCGTCCTCACTCCGGGGTTGGGGGCCGAACCGGCTGAGCCAGCCGCCCCCTCTCCCACACCCACTCCCAGCATCTGGAGCCTGACCTATCGGCTGGCGTCTACGCCTCTTTCACTTCACAATCTCGCAGCCCGTGCCACCCTATACGGGCTCAGTACTCGGCCGCCAGCGGGACCTGCCAGGCTCTTGAGGGCGCCCCAGAAGCCATGGGTATGTGCTGGGGGTTTGGAGTGGGTCCTCTGTGCAATCGTGTCGAAATGGCAAGGGCCTACACCACTAGCCCAGTCCCGCCATCCTCTACACGGAGCCCAGGGCTCAAGGCCTGGCTACCCTGCCTGAGCCTTTCTGAGGCGCGCCCCCGCCCCGTCCTCCGCCCGCAGAGGTACTGGCCCTGGCCGGATACCGCGCGCAGAGGGAGGACGAGCTGAGTCTGGCGCCCGGGGACGTGGGCCGGCAGGGGCGCGCG